ACTTATAGTTTCCATCATGACCTGGTTGGAAATCCGTCGGACTGGTCCGCACAGATGGCTGTGTTTCTCCTCTCCTCTTTGGATCCCCTTCTCCTTCAATCTCTCTAGAGTGTGGGAACCGCTGTTCGCCCTATTCTTCCTCAAATTTTCCCTTACAGTGGTTAGGACGATTGGTGGGTCCAGTGTCAAATTCCCTCCCACTTTGGCTTCTCCAGCCAGCTTGTCTGCTCTCTCGTTGCCGGTTACCCCTGCGTGGCCCGCGCAGAAGATCCAGGCCACTCTTTCTAGGCTGCTCTCCCTGATCGTAGCCTTCCAGTCCACATACAGCATCCCTTTCTGTACCTTCTGTAGTGTGCTCATTGAGTCAGTAATGATTACTGCTCGCTGATGTCTTGTGTTCTTGATCCAGTGTAGAGCTTCACTTATGGCTTTTATCTCTATACTCATACTTGATGTTGTCAGTGCAGTTGCTCCACTTTGCTCTTTCACTACTAATCCATCAACTCTGACACTAAAGGCCCAGCCCGATTTGACTCCTCTGTTGACTGATCCATCCGTGAAGATCACAGCATCTCCATGTTCGCTATGCTCTTCTATCAGGGTTTCAATTTCAGCGTTTGTAGCTCCAAGTGGCCAGTTGCGACATTCTCTACCCAATGTTGCCTTCACTGTTGTGTACTCCCCGAGCGCATCATCGACCACAACACAATCCCTGCCTCTCCTTATGTCTTGTATCTTGCACCACTCGTTGATGGTGTTCGTGGCTTGAGTCATCCATTCCGTGCCCCTCTTTAGCCTTGATGTCATCTGTCGTCCCACTTTCTTATGTAGAGGGTTCGTCTCGTCTGCGCTGACTCGCAGAAAGGCTTGGACTTGTGCCAGTTTGTGTCTCTCGTCTGCACATGGGAAGTCTAGGAAGTATCTCATTGCTTCAGTTGAGGTATCTCGTGTGCACCCCAGGATTGCCCTCATTCCTTCATTTTGTAACACCTCGAGTCGTTGCAGTTGCGCCTTTGATAGGGTCAAGAGTCCGAGCCCGTACTCTACGACAGAGAGTACCAGTGTCTGGTAGAGGATGACAAGGATTTTTTGGCTCATCTTAGCTCTGGCCATCATCTTAAGGGCTGCTAGGCCTTTTCTCGCCCTGGAGATTGTTCCCATGATGTGATCTTTGCCAGAGAGGGTGCGGTCAAACGTGATGCTCAAGTACTTCAGTGTGGGTTCCCTCTTCAGCACTTTGCCTTCAATCGAGATACTTAGCACGTCATCGTGCACTGCATGGGTATTCAGTGTACACCACAATGCACAGGATTTGTCTGGGTGCAGTTTCCCGTTGTATGCCTCACACCACTGTTTAAGTCTGTCGAGTTCTTCCTGTACTCTATCCGCTGTAACCTGGCGGTTCTTGCCCTGTCTGTACACCAGCACATCATCAGCAAAACTGAGTACACGCCCGGGCCCCTCCAGCTGGGTGGGAGTAATCCCTATTGTATAAGCGTTGAACAGAACTGGCGAGAGTGCAGATCCCCGTGGTAAGCCTGGTGTGATCTCGGTAGGTTGCGAAACCCAGCAACCAAGACGTTGTGCTACCTTTCGTTTGAGCAGCGCTGCCCCAATCCATTGTACTAAATGTGGATCTACCTTCAGGTTGACTAGAGTCTTCATGAGGGTGTCGTACTGAACTCCGTTGTACGCATCTTCCAGGTCAAGTGTTGCTAACTGAGTTTCTTCCCCCCGTTCGAAGCCATCATATACGTCGGATGCAAGAGTGGCAGCATTCATCCATGTGATCTTTCCTCTTCTATAGCTGCCCAGTTCCGGCGGTAGGACGTTCTTTTCCTTCAGCTCTATTGCCAATCTGCGTGCCACGATTTTCTCCAGCAGCTTCCCGACGGTATTTTGCATGGTTACTATGCGACATGAGGCAATCTTGCTTGGATCCTTGTCTGGCTTAGGAACTGAGGACAGGTGACTGTCCAGCCTGTCTTCAGGTATATCCCCAGTCCACAGGCTTTCGTTTAGCCTCTCGGCTAGTGCCATTGTCTGTCCTTCCTCCATGTTCTTCATGTGGCTATAACGTACTCCGTCAGGACCAAGAGAAGTGTTGGATGCTTCCTGGATATATTTATGTAACATTTCGCGTGTCACAAATTGCAGGCAGGGTTCATCTTTGTAGTCCTGTTGGATCCAGTTGAGCAGCTGTTTTCTCTCGTCCTCGTCTTTCCTGTCAGTTTGTCTAAGGTATCTCCTAAGCAGAGCACGGCCTTTTTCTTCATCAGTGTGCATCCACATAATATCATCCTCTTGTTGGAAATCAGGGATAGCTTGTTTGCTCTTCCTATTAGTCATGCACCTGTAGAAGTTCCAGAACTGATACAGGGCCCTGTCACTGTTCACGCCCTGGCAGAAGTTGTCATATGCTAGGTCCTTGGCTTCTTTTGCTGCCTCATCGAATCTTAGATCTGCTAGCTTTTTCTCAGCTTTCAACTGCACGTTTGATCTGTCCCTCTCGTGTCTTCTCCGCGCCAGGCGTTTGATCTTCCACAATGCCCCAGTCTTTTCATTCCACCAGGGTGGCTGCTGTGCCACTACTTTTGCTGTACTCTGGGTGGCCTGGAGCTCTTTCGAAGTACACTGATGGGGTCGTTACCTTCTGCGGGGTGGAAGAAGACTCGTTTCTGTCTTTGATGGTTGCTGTTTTTTCCTCGCTTTACAAACACTGTGCATGGGCACATATGATTGCTGCCATAGTTGTGTAATAGTCTCCATGTACAGTCTATTGTTAGGTCTACCGAGACGAGCGCAAGGTCTATAGCACTGTCGGAGTCCCCATCTCTTGTGGCTAGTCTGGTCATAGATCTCTATCACAATACCCTAGATCGCACAGTGTGACGTAATTTCTAGGTTTGTACTGCCTAGATCGAGAACTATGACGTAGTTTCTACACTTGTATCACTTGACTCTAGACTGTGAGGAGAAACCATTGTCATAGATGTCTACCTCAATAACATACACTGTGCGGAGAAGGTAATGTCATCGCTGTCACAATATCACCGGTCCCATGGACAAACAGAAGAAATCACAAACTGGATATCGGAAGGGTGTCAGTTTTTAAAAAAGTGTCTGAACTCATGACTTAAGGTGGGGGGGGGGGCAACACCTGAAGGCTATCTCGCTTATTAGAGGACCACATTTTACCACATTTCACACATATAACAAGCATAGTCAGGAGTCCTCAAATCCGCAATCAAATTTGAGAAAAAAGTTTCTTTTCCATGGATATGTCGGCCATA